ATAGGTCCCAATTCTAGAGTTATTGTATAGAGTTATTGATGATACATTATGAAATGAGTTTATATAGGTCCCAATTCTAGAGTTATTGTATAGAGTTATTGATGATACATTATGAAATGCGTTTATATATGTCCCAATTCTAGAGTTTTTGAATAAAGTTATTAACGATAAATTATGGAATGAGTTTATATAGGTCCAAATTATAGAGTTATTGTATAAAGTTATTAATGATAAGTTATGAAATGAGTTTATATAGGTCCCAATTCTAGAGTTATTGTATAAAGTTATTAATGATTAATTATGATAAATTATGAAATGAGTTCATATAGGTCCCAATTCTAGAGTTATTGTATAAAGTTATTAACTATAAATTATGGAATGAGTTTATATAGGTCCCAATTCTTGAGTTATTGTGTGAAGTTATTAACGATAAATTATGAAATGCGTTTATATAGGTTCAAATTCTAGAGTTATTCTATAAAGTTATTAATGATTAATTAAGAAATGAGTTCATATAGGTCCCAATTCTAGAGTTATTTTGTGAAGTTATTAACGATAAATTATGAAATGAGTTTATATAGGTCCCAATTCTAGAGTGATTGTAGAGAGTTATTAACGATAAATTATGAAATAAGTTTATTTAGGCCTCAATTCTAGAGTTATTGTATAGAGTTATTGATGATACATTATGAAATGCGTTTATATATGTCCCAATTCTAGAGTTTTTGAATAAAGTTATTAACGATAAATTATGGAATGAGTTTATATAGGTCCAAATTATAGAGTTATTGTATAAAGTTATTAATGATAAGTTATGAAATGAGTTTATATAGGTCCCAATTCTAGAGTTATTGTATAAAGTTATTAATGATTAATTATGATAAATTATGAAATGAGTTTATATTGGTCCAAATTCTAGAGTTATTGTCTAAAGTTATTAATGATAGGTCATGAAATGAGTTTGTATAGGTCCCAATTCTAGAGTTATTGTATAAAGTTATTAATAATAAGTTATGAATTGAGTTTATTTAGGTCCCCAATTATAGAGTTATTGGATGAAGTTATTAACGATAAATTATGAAATAAGTTTATATAGGTTCCAATTCTAGATTTATTGTGTAGACTTATTATAGATAAATTATGACATGAGTTCATAAAGGTCCCAATTCGAGAGTTTTTTTTATGAAGTTATTAACGATATATTTTGAAATGAGCTTATATAGGTCCCAATTCTAGAGTTATTGTATAAAGTTATTAATGATAAGTTATGAATTGAGTTTATTTAGGTCTCTAATTCTAGAGTTATTATATGAAGTTATTAAAGATAAATTATGAAATGACTTTATATCGGTCCCAATTCTAGATTTATTGTGTAGACTTATTAAAGATAAATTATGAAATGTGTTCATATAGGTCCGAATTCTAGAGTTATTGTATACAGTTATTAACGATAAATTATGAAATGAGTTTATATATGTCCCAATTCTAGAGTTATTGTATAAAGTTATTAATGATAAGTTATGAAATGAGTTTATATAGGTCCCAATTCTAGAGTTATTGTATAACGTTATTAATGAGAAGTTATGAAATGAGTTTATATAGGTCCCAATTCTAGAGTTATTGTATAAAGTTATTAACGATAAATTATGAAATGAGTTTATATAGGTCCCAATTCTAGAGTTATTGTATAGAGTTATTGATGATAAGTTATGGAATGAGTTTATATAGGTCCCCAGTTTTCGAGTTATTTCATGAAGTTATTAACGATAAATTATGAAATGAGTTTATATAGGTCCCAATTCTAGAGTTATTTTGTGAAGTTATTAACGATAAATTATGAAATGAGTTTATATAGGTCCCAATTCTAGAGTGATTGTAGAGAGTTATTAACGATAAA